GTAGTTGTGTGGATGTGGCTTACGTATTGTAATTTTATTTTTCTGTTTCTTCCAGGTTCATAGTGATTTCAGCTTGTTCTAGTTTTTCTACTAGTTTTCTACTAGTTTTCTACTAGTTTTCGAATTGAAGATGAATATGCTTTCTTTCTTATCGCTATTTTTCGTAATTGTGAAATAAGTTTCATCATCAAGGTTTCTGTCATTTTTGTGTTTTATAATCATGCGTACTAAAGGAATATGCTTTTCTTACTAACGTTTCGAGTTTCGATTCTTTCTGTAAGTTGTTTAATTGTTTCATTAGGGAGTCTACGATTTTGTTGCATAGAACTCTTTGACGTTGTAATTTCTTTCAGAGTCCTACAGTTTGGAAAATCTTGTGTTAATCTTTTCCAGTCTGAATTAATTTCTGTTGGTAAAACCGAAAACCATTTTTGGGCTGCGCCATCAAGTGTGGTTTGGATTAGAGCTGTGCGTCTATGTATCCCATTTTGATGAAGTGGCGTATTTTCTGGTTCAGGCCTTATACTAAAAATTAAATTAGCTGTGATTGCGTTTAAATTATCTTCTACTGAGTATTCAGGACCTCTCACTCTGAATACCATTAGTGGTTTATCAGAAGATATAGAAGATCCACCCATAAGGTATGGATTCTGAGTCAGTTGTAGTGATTCTGTGGCTTTTGGTATTTGAAAAAAACTTGTGAGGTTTGTTTTTGTATTTTCATGCTTTTGTAAATAATATGGTAATGGGATTTCATTTTGCATTTGAATTGGTTGATAACTTTGTGTATTGATGCGATTTTGTGATTGAAAGTCATTATTATATGATACAGGGTTTTGCCTTGTTTGTTGTGTTTGTTCATTTCGTATAAATGGTTCAAAAAGATCTGGTCGATAAATAGGATCTGGTTGATCAAAATTCCATTTATTGTTTTTGTTGGTTTGTGCTGAATCGTTGTTGATTTTGGCTATAACATTCTTTATCTTCTGAATAATGTGGTTGATTCATTGTATGATCTTCATTATCATGTTTTTTTTGTTGGAACAACGGATAGTTTTCGCTACGATCCACTGTAACTCGTGGTTGATCGTTGAAAAATAGTGTGTGAGAGGCTTGTTGTGGTACATTTTGATAATAGTTTTGTGCTTGTGATTGATTTTGTTATTTTGGATTTTGCAAAAAAGTTATAGTTATGATCTGAAAAGCTGTTTCCATTAGACGTTTTTCGTCTTTTTTGTTTGTCGTGATGTCCTTGCTGGTTTAAATGTTTGAGAATCCATTTGTGAGTATTTTGGAATGATAGAAGGTTTTACTGTGGATTGTATAGTTGTTTGCGGAAATGTTGTATTTTTTTGGAGTTGTAAGTGTAGGATGAATGGGGGAAATGCTTTGAGGCGTTGTTGTTGGCCTTGTCTCGACTATTTCTTCATCCATGAAATGTGATGGAGTTTCAATAACTTGTTTTGTAGGATTTCTTGTTCCATTTAAATTTTCTTGTGTTTTATTGAATATGGAGTTTAAGCTATTACTTCCTAGTGGAGTTTGAGCTTGTGAACATTGCATTATAATTTAAAGTTGTTGTTTCCAAAGTACGTGGAGTTATTCTAACATAGTCTTTATTGATAGAAATAGAGGTGATTGCTTGACTTGATATATCAGTTGTACATATTAATAATTGATGAATTAGACCAATCAGGGTCCCAAACATAATCTGTTCCATCTGCTAATACAATTTCATCGTCTGAATTTTGCGGTCGAAAAATTTCTCTTTATAGCGCTGTGAGATCAATGTTATGGACAAAAAAATCAATTAGAAAGCATGCTTGTATTCTTTGTAAATCGTGTTTGACATTTTGTGAGATTTCGTTATTAATAAGGTTTTGACGGATTGTAATTAACAATATTGAGAAAAAGTCGATTTCTTGTCTGACAGTTGAATGTCGGGATGTTTGAGTTGGTGACTCATTTTGTGTTTCTTTCAATTCTAGTATAGATAGATAGCTATAAATTTTTGAGAAAACATGTTAGTGAATATTGAATTTGCCCTTTATGAATTTCGGTGTATATTTTTTATATAGTCTGAAAACTTTCGAGAATTCTATATCTATATCGTTTGCTTGTATTTGACGTGTAGAGTGATTTGGTTTTGATGATAAAAATTCAATTTTGAATATACCGTAATATGATGTGATATTACATACTCCTTTGAGATAGTGGTCAAGGATTTGTCGTTTTATTCCTACTTAGGGAAATTCCTGTTTTCATGGGCTATTTCCTTTTTCAAAAAAAAATACAATTAAGTTGTGACAAATTTGTACTTGTCCTCGGGCGGGATCACTTTGTGGTTGTAAGAAAAAAGGAAGTATCAATTTATCATCGATTTTTTTCCTTTTAATTCGATCATGTTTTATACTGTAGAACTGTTAGTGTAAATTATTCAATATGTCCTATTGGTTGATTCCAATTATAAAGGAGTATTGTTTGTTTATAAATAACTTTTTTATTTTGCGTTT